TTTGGTACGCGGGCCTCTCACTGTTGTGGCCTCTCCCGTTGTGGAGCACAGGCTCCGGACGCGCAGGCTCAGCGGCCCTGGTTCACAGGCCCAGCCGCTCCGCGGCATGTGGGATCTTCCCGGACTGGGGCAGGAACCTGTGTCCCCTGCATCGGCAGGCGGACTCTCAACCACTGCGCCACCGGGAAAGCCTGGAACATCAGTCTTGATCTTAGGGAAGAAGCAGCCTCGCTGGGCTCCTTGTGTCCTGCCAGGTGCCTCTGTGTGTCTCTTGCCTAGAGGTGTGAGGGCACACCTGCCCAGGAAGGGGCAGTGAAGCTGTGGCCAGGTGTGTGTGTGTGTCAGGGAGAGGGGGTAGTTCCTGAGAGGCTTCTGAAGGCTGAGGGCAGTGTCACACACATGGGTGGGACACAGTGGTTAGTTATGGAGGACCCCCAGGTGGAGGTGACGGGGGGTACTGGGGGTGGGGGCGACATGAAGGCAGACTGGGGGGCGCAGGAAGAGATTTCCTGGGGAAATCTCCAAAAAGAGTGGGTCTCCCCTAGTGTGTGACTAGCAGACACCGTAGAGGGGGAGTGGGGTGAGGAAGGTTCTAAGTAGGAAGCGCCACGAGGGAAGCAGAGAGGCCCTGAGACATGGCAGTCACTGGGCTGAAGAGGAAGCTTTTCTAGAAGAGGTGGCCCCAGGGCTGCCTGGTGGGCCTGAACCCATCCCCTCCGGTGGCCCACTTCCTCCAGTCCCAAAGTGGCTTTGCCTGCTTGCCCACCGGCCAGGGCTCAGCACTGGCCTGCCCTAGTGGGATGAGGGGCTCAGGTCTGTCCTTCCACACTTCTGAGGACCCCTGTGCAAGCCGGCTGCACAGAGAGAATGGACCGGAAAGTGTAGCACGGCCCCCCGATAGCTGAAATGCCTTCTGGGAAAACCTGCTCCTCGTCTGTCCTGTGTGTGTGCACATGTCCACACATCCACTTGTGCACGTGTATCTGGGGACGGATCCGAGTTGGTACGCATTGGAGTGTCTACATGGATGCGAACATGTGTGTGTGTTTTCTGGGCGTGCGCCTCTGACTCTGCACCCCCGTGTGTTCGCAGGTACCAGGGAAGTCTCCACCCCGTCCTTTTTCTTCCTTCTGAGTCAACAGGTCTTTCCCAAGCACCCCACACACACCAGCCTCCGTGCAGGGCGCTGGGGATGTGGAGGTGCAGCCGGCTTAGGCGTGGGCATTAGGAGTTCCACCGTCAAGCAGAGGACACACACACACACACACACACACACACACACACACACACACACACACACACACCGTGCATGCAAAATGAGAGCGTAGGTAGGCTACCCTGGCCTGGCTGTTGCTACAGGAGCCCTGAGGGGGCTGAGAGCTGGGGGTGGAGGAGGTTACCAAGGGTTTCCTCCAGGGTGTGCTGGGAGGAGCAGGAAGGGGGGCTTCTGTGGGGGCCACAGCCCAAGCACTAGAAAAGAGGCAGCCAGTGCCAAGCCCGGCGTCGGGAAACCAGGGGGGAAAGCGGCCAGGTGGACTGACCTGTCTGTTTAAATGGGCGTGCTCAGTCCGTGGCTAAGAGTTTTGAATGAGCGGTCGCCATTTAAAAATCAGAATATTTCATATTAAACGCCCCCCACCCCAGATTTCCAGGTCCTCCTGAACCGTGGGAAGCTTTGGCTGCACTGAGCCCCCCGTTGCTATGCTGAAATAATCAGCTGGAGATGAGCAGCTGGCTGCTGCTACCCTTTACTCCATTACCTGCCTGGCCCTTGCACTATTCTCAAGTTTAAAGCCTCAGGAAGAGACAGTTCCAACTGGAAGCTAGAAATCATAGAGTCTTGTGTTTGAAGGGACTGCTTGTATACCTCCAGTAACAGGGAGCTCATTATCACACATCACAAGATGTGCGCCTTTGAAGTGCGGGTTTTAGGAGACCTTTTTTTAAAAAAAGTTGTGGTAAATATATACGAAATATATACATGAAATTTGCCATTTTAATCATTTTTAAGTGTACAACTCAGTGGTATTATGTACATTTACAAAGTTGTGCAACTATCACCACTGTCCATTTCTAAATCTTTCCCATCACTCCAAATAGAAACCCTGTACAATTAAGCAATAACTCCCCAAGCTCCCCTGTCCCTAGCCCCTGGTAACCTTTCTGTCTCTATGAATTTGCCTATTCTGGGTATTTTGTACAAGTGGAATTATACAATATTTGTCCTTTTGTGTCTGGCTTTTGTCACTCAGCATGTTTTCAAGGTTCATCCGGATTGCAGCATGTGTCAGAACTTTCATTCTTTTAATGATGGAATTACCTTCCGTTGTATGCAGCTACCACACTGTGTTTATTCATTCATCTTGTTGATGGACACTTGGATTGCTTCTGCCTTTTGGGCTATTTTGAATAATGTTGCCATGGACATTTGCATACAAGTATTTCTCTGTGTCCCTGTTTTCAGTTCTTTGGGGTATAGGAGTGGAATTGCTGGGTCATGTGGCCACTCTGTCTTTAACTTTTTGGGGAACCGCTATCTGTTTTCCACAATGGTTGGGCCATTTTATGGGGACCAGTTGTGTGTTGTCCTGGCCTGGACGGGAATGACAGAAGGGCCTGACTGGGTGGCTTAGATTGTCCATGCTCACCCTCTCTCTCCCTCTGTTGACAGAGTCGCCCCAAGAAAGGCCGGGCTCCCGGCGCAGCCTGCCAGGCAGCCTCTCAGAGAAGAGCCCCAGCATGGAGCCTTCAGCTGCTACGCCGTTCCGGGTCACGGTAACTATCTCTGCGTCACCATCGCCACCTGGCCTGGGGTGCTGCTCTGCGACCCCGCGGCCCCCATTCCTGGAGCCTCACGGACCAGGAGAACATCCAGCCTCCCTTGTTCTAGGTATCCGATCGCTCAGCTGCTCCCCTCTCTGTGGCTCGGCCCCATCCCGGGGGGGCCACGTGGGGGCCCCTTCTTACGAGGGAGGGGCCAGACAGAGGACAGACAGCTCTGCAGGCCATGGGGCCCAGAGCTGAGCTGGCCTGGGAAGAAAGAGGCTAGTGTTAGGTCCGATAAATGCACCCTCATGTGTGCGCACACATGCCACGCTTCCTTAGAATGCACCCTTTTTGTTTACACATTTTAATATCTCTCATACTACAGCCTGTGGTGTGTCATAATTTAATTGCTATGTTTTTTCTTTCTTGGTGGCACATAAAATAATGCTGTATCTTACAACTGATGATGTCTTAGAATCAACAAAGGACAGTATATATATCTTAGCTACTGATTATTAGTAGTCCCACCAGCACACATTCTTTTATTTCAAACCTAAATGACTTAATGGAAACAGAATCCAGTGAGCCTTAATATCTGACTCTCCGTGTCCCCCTGTGTCCCCACCATCCTTCCATGCGCCTGTAGTTCTACGTCCCTTGACTGCCCCCATTCACACGTTACCATGTGCCCCTCTGTCCATGCTCTGCCTGCTGCTAGAGAAGTAGACATGTCCTCTTCCCGTGGGAGCTCACAGTCTGTAGGGGAGGTGGCTAGTTGATCATTTGTTCATCCATTCATTCATTCAACCATTTTTTATGGTGTGCTTGCTGTGTGCCAGGTACCATTCTTTGCACTGGGGCTAAGTGGGAGGAGCTGGCCAAGAGAGTATCAGGTGGATGAAGCCCTTGACCTTATGGGCTGACATTCTTGTGTTGGAGCTATGTGCTGTGAAGGAGAAAAGTAGACTGATAGGGAAAACCAGGAGAGCTTCTTTGAGGTGGTGTGGTTGGGAAGTGATAGTTGAGCTGAAGTCCAAGGGAAGAGCTAGCCCTCTGGGGCTCCGGGGAAAGAGGGTTTTTTTTTTTTTTTTTTTTTTTTTTTTTTTTTTACTGTAGCGGGCCTCTCTCTGTTGTGGCCTCTCCCATTGCGGAGCACAGGCTCCGGACGCGCAGGCTCAGTGGACATGGCTCACGGGCCCAGCCG